CAGTGACATAACCCTTGCTACGCAAGGGGAAGACCGTGGAGTAACACGAGTAGTCGTCAACAACGAGCAGGAAGTAGCGCTCGTGACCGTGTCCACGGACGCGGGCTGGGCCCCACACGTCCATGTGAAGCGTCTGCAGCGGGGCCTCTGTCGGAGGAAACTGGGAAGAGTGAGGGGCAGCTCGCTGGCGCCCCACAACACAGGGGACACAGGTAAGGCTCGGCCCCCGAGGAAGGGGAGGGATTGACCAGGGGAGACCAGAAACAAGAAGACGGGAGGCCATGCCTCTAAGACGAAGCAGGGAGGGGTGACCAAGGCGGTGGTGCCAGAGGAGAGTCTCGTGAGACAGGAGACGACACGAACAAGGGGGCAGACTAAGGACCAGACCTGGACGCTGCAGCAAACACCTGACCTGACGCAGCTACCCTACCAGACTCAGCAACTTGAGGAGACGCGGTGGTCAGTGTGTACAGGCTCGACCCCGGGTGACGTGTAAACGTAGCCAAGTGTCGGCCGGTGCTAGCCTCTCTGCAGTGCGTCACCCCTTGACGCGCAGGAGTGAACTGGTGCACTCCCGCATCCTGTAGGTCAGCACCACTCACCAAGTTCGTAGAGAACGAGGGGAGGTAGAGACCAGATAGGGTGCCAAAGGGAGCCGCCGGACACGGGAGGACTGTGGAGAAGTGAGACAGGACAGGACCTCCAGAGGGGTCAGCCAGAGACACTGCAACAGGCCGACTAAACGGCATAAGTGTGGTGTGGTCCCGAAAGAAGGAGCGAGAAGCCCCAGAGTCAAGGGTGAAGGTGAGGGAGGCCGAAGCCGACGCAGTACCTGAGAGCGCAGACTCACCAGTACCTGAGGACGCAGACGCACGAGCACATAGAGCAGCAGCGTCACAAGCACCTAGGGCAGCAGCCTCACCAGTACCTAGAGCAGCAGTCTCAATGCCCGGATCGGGCGGGAAACACCGGTAACAGTCACCCTCATCACTAATAGTCACAGCATACATGGCAGAATGAATAGCATCAAAACCAAGATCATAGATGGCAACTCCCGCCCTGGACAGCTTGCCCCAGCGAGGGATCTGTGTAGCCTCAGGGAACTGGTGACGCCACGCGTCGGTCAGACGGCCAAAGCAGCGCTGGGTGGGGTGCGCACCCCCACACTGCTCACCCGCACGGTCGCCGGTGCGCACGACGTAGGTGCACAGACCAAAACCCCCACCCCGCTGGCGTGCAGTGTACCACTCACGGAGCTGCTGAAGGGACAGGGTCTCACGACTGCGCTGCTGCTGCTGGCGTGGACCACCACTGGAGCCACTCCTCTGTGTAGACCCGCGACCAGCTCCACCGCCACCTCCGCCGCCTCCGCCGCCTCCTCCACCGCCGCCACCTCCACCACCTCCGCTCCCACCGCCACCGCCGCCTCCGCCTCCACTGCCGCCACCGACACCTCCACCCCCACCTCCACTCCCACCGCCACCCCCACTCCCCCCGTCGCCTCCACCTCCACCTCCACCGCCCCCGCTCGCTCCTCCAGCGCCCCTGCCCCCCTTGCCTTTGCCAGAGCGGCGTCTCGTGCTAGGGGAAGACGCCGCACCGACCGACTCAAGACTAAGGAGGTCAGCCGCAGCAGCAGAGGCAACAGAGGGCAAAAGGGGGGAGGGGGAACACCCCTCAAAGATGGGGGTGCGCGGGTCACCACGAGAGGCCCCTACAGCGACTATGCTCTTTTCTGCCGCTAGGAGGGCCTTCTCAAGGAGGTCAACAGTGAGTGTGGTGGGACAGACTGAAAGGAAGTGGTCCCTGACTACGCGAAGGGAGTCAGGGAGGCGACTAACTATGTAGTAGAGAGTGATGTACATGGGGGGGGGGGTTCTTGGCGTAGAAGTCAGCAGGAAGCGCAGCACGGTAGCGAGTGTCAGCAAGACGTGCAGCAGCATCGCGCGTGGCCCACTGGGAGCAAACAGTGGCGTCAGCATCAGCAGCAGGGGCAGGAGAGGCGCCAGAGGTGAGGTCAAAGAGAGAGAGACCGTCTGCCCTATCGCACTGTAAGAACAGCTGCAGGTCATCTACCCAAACGTCAAAGTCAATGGCCCGACCCTCAGCGTCAAAAGCGAGGACACTAGGGGTAGCCATGACCACAGTAGACTAGCAGTGCAAACAGTAGGGGGAGGGCAGTGCAGTAAAAGAGGCTCTGTGCTCACCGGACGGGGCAGCTCGGGCGGCTCGGCTACAGTGCGGCTCAGCGGCCCGTCGGCTTGGGAGTACGGCGGCTCGGCTGTTGGGCGGCTCGGCTGCAGGGCGGCTTGGCTGCTCGGCTGCTCGGCAGCTCGGCGTCTTGGCTGTGCGGCTGCTCGGTTGCCCGGGCGGCTCGGCGGTGCTGCTGCAGGGCGGCTCGGCGGTCGGCTGCTCGGCTGGGTGAGGTGGCTTGGGCAGCTCGGGTGGCGGGCGGCACTGCAGCAGGGGACGGGGCCGCAGGTTAGAGTGGCGGGGCCGCCGGTGAGAGCGGCGGGGCCGCACGTGAGAGCGGCGGGGCCGCAGGTGAGAGCGTCAGGGCCGCAGGTGAGAGCGGCGGGGCCGCAGGTGAGAGCGGCGGGGCCGCAGGTGAAAGCGGCGGGGCCGCAGGTGAGAGCGGCGGGGCCGCAGGGAAGGGCGACGGGGCCGCAGTTGAGGGCGGCGGGGCCGCAGTTGAGGGCGGCGGGGCTGCAGTTGAGGGCGGCGGGGCCGCAGGTAAGGGCGGCTGGGCCGCAGGTACGGGCGACGGGCCGCAGGTGAGGACGGCGGGGCCGTTTAAAGGGACAGCGGGGCCGTGAGAAGGGCGGCGACGGGCCACTGCAAGGGCGGCGACGGGGCCGCTGGTGAAAGGGCGGCGGATCGGGGCCGCAAGGGCGGCTGATCGGGGCCGCGAGAGGCCGCTAGGGCGGCGCGACGCGGCCGTTAGGGCGGCGCGACGCGATCAGAAGGGCGGCGCGACGAGCCGCTAAGGGCGACGCGACGGGCCGCTAAGGGTGGCGCGTCGGGGCCGCTAAGAAGGGTGCGACCCTAGGCGCGCTTCGGGCAAGGGCAGAACGCGCCCCGGGCAGGAAAAAAAAAATCGGTGGGCCCTAGGAACAGTCCCCACGAGGGAACCTGCTCGATACCATGAGAAAATGAGAACGAGAATGAATGAACTATGAATGAACTGAGTACAAGTACTAACCCTAATTGGGTTGTACCCCTTATGGGCTACCCCACTATAGCCTACAAAATATGCATAAGCTATATGTTCTGACATTTCGCACGTCAGTTTGCCCGCGTGCCACCTCATCCTGTCTGGACGCGAAACCAGTCAGGACCTCGAAAGTCAAACAAAGTGAAAATGGGTGCTGACTCGCTTGAAATTTGAAATTCGTTACTGATTTAATTAGGATTGAAAGAATAAATTTATGCATGCGCTTATAATAAATCAGGGTTTTACAGGGGGGGCGCTCATAATCGAGGAACGGCCATAAGCGCCATGCTCCAGATATAGGCGCTGGTGCCTTTAATCGGACGGCGCCTATATTCGGGGCCATACGGTATTTGTACTGCCTTGCTTTCATGGTCTCACCATTCCGTTGCATTCTATTTCTCCTTCCCTTCGGCGCCATGGTGCAATGATGACTGATGAAAGGCAGCAAAGACTTGAGTAGCCCCTTGAAGGTGGACAATTTTTCAAGAGGATGTGCTTCCAATGGTCTGGGTGGAGACGCTGTCGGAACATTATATAGCTTATACATTTGTGTAGGATGTAGTGGGGTATCCCATAGGGGGTACAACCCAATTAGGGTTAGTACTTGTACCCACTCCTTTCATAGTTCATTCATTCTCGTTTCAGTTTTCTCATGGTATCGAGCAGGTTCCATCGTGGGAACTGTTCCTAGGGCCCACCAAGTCGAAAAAAAAAAAAAATTCCTGCCCGGAGCGCGCTCAGCCCTAGCCCGAGTCGCGCTCCCCTCTCTCGACCCAGTCGCGCCGCCCTAGCGGCCCCGTCGCCTACCTCCCGGCCCTCGCGCCGCCCTTCCTGGCCCCAACCCGCCGACTTGCGGCCTCGTCACCCACCCCGCGGCCCTCGCGCCGCCCTTTCCCGGCCCTCGCGCCGCCCTGCGGACCCGGCGCCTACCTGCTGGCCCCGCCACCTTACCTGCGGCCCCGCCCTTACCTGCGGCCCCGCCACCTACCTGCGGCCCCGTCGCCCTTACTTGCGGCCCCGCCACCTTCCTACGGCCCCGTCGCCGACCTGCGGCCCCGCCCTTACCTGCGGCCCCGCCACCTACCTGCGGCCCCGCCGCCCTTACCTGCGGCCCCACCCTTACCTGCGGCCCCGTCACCGACCTGCGGCCCCGCCCTTACCTGCGGCCCCGCCCTTACCTGCGGCCCCGCCACCGACTTGCGGCCCCGCCACCTACCTGCGGCCCCGCCACCAACCTGCGGCCCTGCCGCCCTTACCTGCGGCCCCGCCGCCCTCACCTGCGGCCCCGCCGCCCTTACTTGCGGCCCCGCCGCCCTTACCTGCGGCCCCGCCGCCCTCACCTGCGGCCCCGCCGCCCTTACGTGCGGCCCCACCGCCCTCATCTGCGGCCCCGCCGCCCTCACCAGCGGCCCCGCCGCCCTTACTACGGCACACACGCCGTCGCCTGATGCAGCGCCGCCCGCCACCCGAGCCGCTCGAGCCACCACACCCAGCCGAGCAGCCGACCGCCGCGCCGCCTTGCAGCCGCACCGCCGAGCCGCCCCGCAGCCGAGCAGCCGAGCCGCCGAGTCGCCCTGCCGCCCTGCAGCCAAGCCGCCGAGCCGCCCAGCCGCCCAGCAGCCGAGCCGCCGTGCAGCCGAGCCGCCGAGCCGCCCAACAGCCGAGCCGCCGAGCCGCCGAGCCACCCTACAACCGAGCCGCCCAAGCAGCCCTGTCTGGTTAGAACAGCTCCTCTGTCAATGCACTGCCCTTGCCCTACTGTTTGCGCTGCTAGTCTACTTCTGTCATGGCTACCCCTAGTGTTCTCGCTTTTGACGCTGAGGGTCGGGCCATTGAGTTTGACGTCTGGATAGATGACCTGCAGCTTTTCTTACAATGCGATAGGGAAGACGGTCTCTCCCTCTTTGACCTCACCTCTGGTGCCTCTCCCGCCCCTGCTGCTGATGCTGACGCCACTGTTCGCTCCCAGTGGGCCACGCGCGATGCTACTGCACGTCTTGCTGTGCGTCGCCACCTCCCTACCTTTGAGCGTGCACACTTTAGTCAGTACAAGAGTGCTCAGACCTTGTACGACGCTGTAGTTGCACGCTACTCCTCCCCTGCCACTGCTGCACTGAGCCGTCTCATGCTACCGTACCTCTTCCCTGACCTTGCTGCCTTTCCCACAGTCGCTGACCTCATTACGCACCTCCGCACTAGTGACACTCGCTACCATGCTACGCTTCCTGCTGAGTTCTGCGCCAAGAACCCCCCCCCCCCCCCATGTATATCACCCTCTACTACATAGTCACCCGGCTCCCTGACTCCCTTCGCGTAGTCAGGGACCACTTCCTCGCAGTGTGCCCCTCCACTCTCACCGTTGACCTCCTCGAGAAGGCCCTCCTAGCAGCGGAGAAGAGCATAGTCGCTATAGGAGCCTCTCGTGGTGACCCGCGCACCCCTGTCTTTGAGGGGTGTTCTCCCTCCCCCCTCTTGCCCTCGATTGCTTCTGCTGCTGCGGCCGACTTTGTTGGTTTTGAGTCAGTCGGCGCTGCGTCTGCCCCTTCGGAGAAGCGCCGCACAGGCAAGGGCAAGGGGGGCAAGGGCGCTGGAGGAGCTGGCGGGGGCGGTGGAGGCGGCGGTGGAGGCGGCGGTGGAGGCGGCGGAGGGAGTGGGGGTAGTGTTGAGAGTGGTGTGCGGAGATAACTACAGCAACGGGAGCTAGGCTACGGGCTAGGCACGTGTGCTCGTGTGATCTCTGCGTTCTCTGTTCGTTAGTCGTTTTCCTTGTGCACACACTACTTGCTAGTTCACGGGGAAAGTTGGCAAGAGTTTCACTAGGAAAAGTTCAGAACAATTGGTACAATGAAGTTGGCATAGCATGACTACGTCAGAGCAAGCATTCAGGTCGGCCAACTGCCAGCGCAGCTTGGTCGACCGCGTTCCAGCACGACTTGGTCGACCGCACTCCAGCAAGGCAAGGTCGACGGCGTGCCAACGTCGCAGGTTGACGGCGTGCCAGCGTTGCTCACGCAGGACAGCAGTGCACCCGCCTCGCAGGTGTGCGTAGCTGATTGGCGTGCAGAGTCCCGTCACCTTCACAGCGCACACTCCACGTCAACCTCGAGCTGACGACTGCCTCTGGTCCGCCACGACGACCTCGGGATACCACCACCGTGGTCGTGCTCGCCACCTTTGCCTGGGCGACCGTCGCACTTCTCCGCAGCACTTCGTCACCCAGGTAACCTGGTCGACCGGGCAACCACGTCGACCAGCAGCTCTTGCACGTGCCCGTCGACCTCCCAAGTCGACGACCACCCCAAGTCGACCTCCTCAGGTCGACCACTACTCCCTGGTCGACCAGCTCCAAGTCGACGTCACTCCTGGTCGACCAGAAGGGCTGGTCGACTTCCCAGGTCGACCAGGATGGTCTGGTCGACGTCCCAGGTCGACCAGAAGGTCTGGTCGGCGTCCCGGGTCGACCAGACGAAGTTGGCGCCCTCCTGAAGTCGGCGCCCATGCAGTGGCTCCCCGTGCAGGTCGACTAGCCTCGTCGACCAACTCGCCCACTGCTGCAGGTCGGCTGCACCCTACACCCGACCACGAAGTCGGCTCCGCCCAGGCGTGGACGGGGCCAACATACAACTCCCGTTGACACTCCCCTGCCGCGTTCACGCTTGGGCACCCAGCCCACACGGCAGTACAGTTCGGAGACTAGCTCGTCGACGTGCACCCAACACATAGCACGTCGTCCACCGCACCAGCCATGCAAAAGGGCATGGCACCTACTACTGCACGTCGTTGTCGCCGTCGCCCACGTCGGCCAAGCGCACTTGGCCGATTGAGACGGAGCACCGGTTGAAGGCCGGATAGTGCAGCGCCTTCGTCAGGAAGTCGGCCGGCTGCTCAGCGGTTGGGATGTACTGCAGCGAGAACTTCCCGCGCCTCACCATGTGCTGCAGCCAGGCCTGTCGCCGCTCCATGTGCTTGAGGTTGCCCATCAACCCCATGCCCTCGGCAACCGTGATGGCCGACTTGTTGTCCACACGCAGGACAGTTGGCTTCCCGGCGTCGAGTTGCCGGAACTCGGCGAGGAGGAAGCGAAGGCGGCGTCCCTCCTTGCCAGCTTCAGTGGCCGCCACGTACTCCGACTTGGTCGACGACAGCGTCGCGCACTTGATGCGCTGGCTCGACCAGGAGACTGCAGCCCCTCCGTAGACGAACACGTAGCCGCTCGTGCTCATCCTGTTCTGCTTGTCACCGGCGTCGTCGGCGTCCACGTAGCCGACCAGCTCCAGCGACTGAGGTCCACCGCCGAACTCCAGGGCGGTGTCGCGTGTGTTGGCGAGGTAGGCAAGGCAGCGATCGACCTCGTGCCAGTGCTGGTCGCTCCTCACTGTGAGGCCGCTCCCCAGCTTGCTGCATGCGAAGGCGACGTCCGGCCTCGTCGTCGTCGCCGCGAACTGCAGCGAGCCGACCTTCTGCCGGTACTCCTCCTCCTGACGTTCCTGCGCCTCCTCGTCATCGAAGGTGAGCTCGGCGTAGGCACCGACCGAGACCGGCGTCTTCGGGGTGCGCCCGTTCTGCTCCCCGTCGAGGAAGCGCCAACGCAGCTTGTCGGCGTAGCCCTGCTGGTGCAGCCACAGCTTCCCCGCCGACCTATCGCGTACGATCTCGAGCCCGAGGTACTTCTGAACCGGCGAGATCTCGCGCAGCTCGAAGGCGGCTTCCAGCAGCTCCCTCAGCTCCGTCAGCATCATGGCGCTGCTGCTGGCGGCAAGCAGGTCGTCGACGTAGACCAGCACCCAGCAGACTACCTCACCCTCGCCGACTTTGCAGTAAAGAGCCTCGTCGACCTGGCTCTTCTTCCACCCGGCGCCGACCAGCACATCGTTGAGCGCCAAGTACCACAACAGCGGCGACTGCTTCAGCCCGTACAGGCTCTTCAGTAGCTTACACACCCGGCCGGTTCCGTCGTTGAAGTAGTCCGGCTGAGACATGTACAGTACCCGATCGAGCTTGCTCTGCAGGAAGGCATTCTTCATGTCCAGCTGCATCAGGTTGAGGTCGAGGACAGCGACAATGCTGAGGAAAATCCTCAGCGTCACGTAGCTGCTCACCGGCGCGAACGTCTCGTCGTAGTCGGCGCCATACACCTGTGTGAAGCCCTTTACGACCAGCCTCGCCTTTTCTCGTTCGACGGTGTCGTCAATGTGGTACTTCGTCGTCAACACCCACCGGTTCTTCATGACATTTACCCCCGGCGGGCGTTCGACCAGCTCCCAAGTGCCCATGTTGATGAGGCTGCGGATCTCCTCCTCCATGGCGGCCTTCACCGCCGGGCCCTTCCAGCTCACCAACGCCTCCTTCACCGTCATCGTCGAGATGTCCCAACGGTGCTCGGGGTCGGCTAGCATGTCGGGGTCGAGCTCCGGAAACTCCTCATCCTTCTCGGCGTCGTCGTACAGCAGGTCGTCGTCATCGTCCACGTCATACACCGTGGTGAAGGCAGCGGGGACGAAGAAGTCAGGCGGCCTTCGAAGTCGGTCGGAACGCCGTGGTCCCTGCTGGACCGCCGCGGCGTCCCCTCCATCGTCACTGTCGTCGCTGCCCTCGGCGTCCTGCTGCTCCTCAGCCGGCGTCCCAGCCGGCTGCTCCATTGTGGTCGGCTTCCCAGCCGACTTCTCCCCTGTGGTCGGCTCCCCTGCCGACGTCCCGGTCGCAGACTGCTCCGTGGTCGGCTTCACGGCAGCCTGCTCCCTTGTCGGCTGCTGCTCCCCTGTCGACTGCAATCCCACGTCGATTCGCCGCTCGTCAAGTCGGCCGCCGGCGATGCACTTGGCCGGCGCCGAAGGCGGCGTCCCACTACTCCCCTCATCGCCGAAGGCCGACACCGAGGTCAGCCCACGAAGGTCGGCCACGAGGGGAGGGGCAGGAGTCAGAGGGAGAGGGGTAGAGGAGCGGACGTCCTCGACGTCCTCAGTAGCAAGCTCACCGACCTCGGAAAGCAGCGGCAGCGTCGCCGACGAGGTGTCAGAGGGCAAGGTGGACGGCGAGCGGCCGGGTACCGGTCCATGCTCAGTCTTCCACTCGGCCAGCGACATTTCCTCATAGAACACCACGTCCGACGTGGTGACCACTCGGTCGGTGTCGACGTCGAGGAGCTCCCAGCCCTTGCTCGCCGCCGACACGCCAAGGTGCAGGCCCCACCTGGCCTTCGGCTTCAGCTTCCCACCACGCTGCGGCTCAGGGACAAGAAACTGCGCCATGCAGCCCCACACCCGCGCCAGCGACAAGTCGGGCTTCTTCCCTGTCAGCAGCTGGTACGGCGTCGTCCCCGGCGGCAGCGTTGACCTCTCCAGGCAGTTGCGGACCCAGACGGCCTGCCGCAGAGCGAGGTGCCACCAGTGGTGCTGCACGCCCATGTGCAGCAGCATTGTCCGCACCGACTCTACCACCGTCCTCATCTCCCGCTCTGCCATGCCGTTTTGCTGCGGGGTATATGGGCAGGTCAGGTCGTGGACGATCCCCTTGTCGTTCACGAAGTCGGTGAACTGCTTCCCGAGGAACTCCCCTCCCCGGTCTGAGCGCAGCATCAACACCGACTTCTTCGTCTGCCGCTCAGCCACCGCCAGCCACTGTACGAACGCCTGCAACGCATCGGACTTCTTGGCGACCGGCTTCACCCACACGTAGCGGGTCTTGCGGTCCTTCAGCAGCAAGAAGTACAGGCTGCTGTCCTTGGCAGCCACACGAAACGGCCCGCACAGGTCGATGTGCACGACGGCCAGCACGTCGTCGGCGTCGGAGCCTTGGTCGGGGAAGGTGTGCCGCGCCAGTTTCCCACCAACGCACGAGACACACGGGGAGTCGGCGTCCGTCGCCGACTTGAGGTCCAGCCCAATGGCGACCTCGTTCTTCGCCGAGCTCCGTATGGTGTCCATGCCGACGTGCGCAAGCCTCGCATGCATCCGGTCCGGCGTCGACTTCGCCTTCGGGACGATCGCCCGCAGAGCCACCACCTCCGTCATGGGCGGCGTCGACCTCGTCGCGCAGGGACGCAGGTCGGTGCAGAGGACTCGCCCAGAGTACGTTGCTCGCCCGAGCACCTCCCCTGCTGCCGAGACGAGCAGCATGCCGTCTCCGTCCTCCTGCAGCTTCACACCATGCTCCTTCAGCTGGCCGGCCGACAGCAGGTTGGCTCGCACACCCGGGACGTACAACACGTCGGGGATGAGCACCTCCTTCCCGGCCTCTCCTTGCAGGGCGATGGTGCCGCAGCCCTGGACATCCTGCAGCGCCCCATTGAAGCCGCGCACATGCCTGATGGCTCCACTCGGCTGCAAGTCGACGAAGGCTTCCTTCGTCCCCATCAGGTGGTGGGAGCAACCACTGTCGAGCAGGACCACCGCCGCGTTCGCCTGCACAGCTGCCGCCACCGCTTGGAAGTCCTCTCCGGCCTCCGGCGCCAGAGAGATGGTCGGCTCCACGACGCCGACCAGCGAGCACGACGCCGTTTTGTCGTCTCGCCCCTTGCCGCCTGCAACGGAGTCGGCGTCCTTCGCCGAGGTCGATGTCTTGGTCGACTGCTTCTCCTTGCGCGGTTGGTTGCCTCCACGATGAGGACGACCGCTGCCAGACCTCCCACGGCCTCCCTTAGCATCGTCGTTGTCGGAGTCGCTGCGGTTGGGACACTCGAAGGAGAG